GGATATGACCCCACAACCATGATATGATTGATATGATTATTCTGTCAACTATTGGATATGACCTCACAATCATCATGTGACTGACATGAATATTCTGTCATCCATCGGATATGACTCCACAACCATGATATGATTGACATGAATATTCTGTCATCCATGGGATATGACCCCACAACCATGATATGATTGATATGATTATTCTGTCAACTATTGGATATGACCTCACAATCATCATGTGACTGACATGAATATTCTGTCATCCATGGGATATGACCCCACAACCATGATATGATTGATATGATTATTCTGTCAACTATTGGATATGACCTCACAATCATCATGTGACTGGCATGAATATTCTGTCTACAATGGGATATGACCCCACAGCCATCATGTAACTGACATGGTTATTCTGTCATCCATAGGATATGCTCCACAAGCATGACATGATTGATATGATTATTCTGTCAACTATTGGATATGACCTCACAACCTTCCAGACATCCCTCACCCCAGAGCTACAGACCACACTGATTTCTTTAGCCGTTAAAACTTAATATCACATTGCAGAAAGTTAAGTTAATTATATATTGCAGTTAATGTCTGATTCAAATTATCTGGTACTATTAACCAGTATGCTATCAATTTAGCAGTAGGATGATGCTGTTTGCTGGCAGGCAGCATTAATTAAAAGGATACATTTTCAGTGACTCTCAGTGCTGAATATGTGACAAATTATGGCCTGTTTAATGTGTTATTTACACAGTTTTTGATATATTATTATAAACAGAAACTGATGCATAAGGTCTTTGATGTTAATTACCAAGGGATCCTAGAATAGAAGTAATTAAATGAAAAACGTGTGGCTTCATCAAATGCCACACGTTTTTGCCTTTATGAGAAAATGGTTGCATCAACTATAAACTTCATACATTTATTCAAACAGGAGACTGTTTATTATGATATATGCAAATAAAAATGTAAACAAGTACATCTCCCCCAGACAATTTGTTCAGCCTTGATATGCATACACCTATGAAAAAAAATATCATGCATAGAGGGAATGTAGGAAAACCTTTATATTGGACTGAGACTTTATTTTGAGTAATTTAGATGGAATACATTTGTTATGAACAATACAAATATTACAGCTATTAAACAGAGAATAACAGACCCGATTTAATGTGACTAAGACTGACAATGATGCTTACTGTGGCTAAGACTAACGATAAGGTGTAATAATGTGGTTAAGACTGAAGATAAGGCGTAGTAGCATGACTAAGACTAACGATAATGCTTAATAACATGGCTAAGACTAACGATAAGGTGTAATAATGTGGTTAAGACTGAAGATAAGGCGTAGTAGCATGACTAAGACTAACGATAATGCTTAATAACATGGCTAAGACTAACGATAAGGTGTAATAATGTGGTTAAGACTGAAGATAAGGCGTAGTAGCATGACTAAGACTAACGATAATGCTTAATAACATGGCTAAGACTAAC